AACCCCTAAACCCTAAACCCGCCGAAACCCACCCTGAACCGAACCGGAAATTTTGCCCATGAGCCCGAGAAGTACCGGGTCAGCCGCAGGAGCTCACGCGCATCGACCGCGACAGGCCTGTCAAGATTTGTGTTTAGTAAAGGTTAAAGCTTTGGGTTTTAGGGTTTAGGGTTTAGGGTTTAGGGTTTAAGGGTTTAGGGTTTAGGGTAAGATTTGGGGGGGTTTCCGAAAAATAGGGGACCCTAATATAGTACCCTAAATAGTAGGATCCTTATTAAAAGGAGCCCAGAATAAGGTACCCCTAATTTTCGGAAACCCCCATTTGTGTTTAGTAGAGGTTAAAGCTTTGGGGTTTAAGGGTTTGGAGCTTGTCTCCACGATCCCCTGATTCAGGATCTCGTCATCTACGGCCGAACATCAACTTGCGGCATGTTCTTTGCATAGGAAAAGTGGAGTCGATAGGAAAGAGGGCTTCATAGTGTAACAGCAACGGCGACGGTTTTCATAAAGAACGGCGACGGTTTTCATAAAGGACCATAACGCCGATGACCACGATTGTCAAGGAAATCTTCATTCACGGTCCCGTCGGCATAGCCTTGACCTTGGGTCCCGTGGCATGGCCTTGACTTCCGGACCCGACCTAAACCCTAAACCCCTAAACCCTAAAACCCTAAACCCTAAACCCTAAACCCTTAAACCCTAAACCCTAAACCCAAAACCCTAAACCATAAACCGTGGGAGTGACTCCTCCGGAAGCGACCCAATGGCTTCCATAACACGGAGTGCTGAAGAGTCGGCTGCGTAATATGTACGATGGTGTGAACTAGTTGGGCCCACTCCTCCTAGTGATGCTGATGCCAAGGTTTAAGGTTTCGGAGTTGCAATTGTTGATTTCGTCGCTGCATGTCTCGGGTCTCTTATTGAAATCCTCGGAGAAAGGGTGCCTCCTTTGTTTTTGACCGGTTCAAGGAGATCTTCGCGCTATTTCTTGTGGCCGAAGTACAAACATGTTGGCAGTTTTCACCCGAATGTCACAGGAAACATTAACCCTAAACCCTAAGCATCCCTGAACCCTAAATCCTAAACCTTAACAGCTTAGATCCAGGCCCTGAAACCTATGAATCCTAATCTCCTCTTGGGTGTGTTCAGCAAGGAGGGCCGAAGCTTCGCATTTGTTAATTAAAAGCTCGGCAAACGATCAAAATCGACTCTATGTTGGGGTGTAGAGTAAGAACCTACAAAAAGGTAGGTTATGGTAGTCCTAAGGTCAGGGCTGAGAGTTTAGATTTGAGTTGGCAGCTGAAACCCTAAACTCTAAGCCGTAAACCCTAAACCCTAAAAACCCTAAACCCCCTAAACACCCTAAACACCTAAACACCCTAAACACCCTAAACACCCTAAACACCCTAAACACCCTCAACCCTAAACACCCTAAGCCCTAAACACCCTAAACCCCGAAACCCCTTTCTCTGCGGACCTTCGCAGTTCGATCCCCGGCTTCCTGGTCTGTCTCCTTTGGGCCATGCATGCCCGAAGTAAGGCCTAGTAGTAGGAGCAGTGGTAGTAGTAGTAGTAGTAGTAGTAGTAGTAGTGGTAGTAGTGGTAGTAGTAGTAGTAGTAGTAGTAGTAGTAGTAGTGGTAGTAGTAGTAGTACTTGGAGGGTCGGGGGACTTAGTAACTAGTTATTTTACAGACTTATAAGTACCATAACCCCAATT